GTGAGAGAGAGGAAGAGAAACTGACCAAGTGGGATGCAGTTCTATTAAGCCAAAATGTAACCTCTTAAAATACCTATGAAACAGTATTGGTAAGTTTCATTCCGGATTCCTTGGTTTTTATTTTTTTATGTATTTATTTATTTTTTTGCTGTAATGTGTAGACCTGAGCTATGTGCTTGAAATATGAATTGGTGTTTGAATCATGACTGTTTTCTTTTAAAGGCTATTTACACATTTGTTGTGAAAGCAGTTGCCAAGGGGAGTCACAATGCCACAGCGTCCCCGATGTGCTCATAGACTGAACAAGTGACAGCACTGGTGCACCCATGAAGCTACCGGGCCCTCAGGTGCCCCCACCCCACCGTCACAAGCCCAGACATGTCAGGACCTGGTTTTAAAAATAACTCCTGCTTGTTAATCAAGAAAAGCCGCCCCCATTCACTACGCCAAAAACACGCACCGTCCTCCCTTGCCGATAATTGTCAACCTGCTTGTCACACACCTTCATTTACCTGTTTTTTAATGTTAGAATGTCATACAGGTTGGCAGACAGATGATTTCTGAGTTTAGCCACATAGACTTTGAAAAGTCGCTGCAGTAATGTCTCAAAGGAGGCGGACTTGCTAATAAACGGCTGCAAGTTCAATTTGAAACGCAACAAGGAACTGCTTGGACACGCGCAGCTTGCTTGGAGATACAACTTCATTGTTTGCCAATCTCTTAATTGGTTATTGGCCTTATAGCTCCATTGAGGGAAACTCACTAATTTGAAGTGAGAGGCAGTGGGTGGTAATTGCAGACACTGTAGCCATAGATGTGTAATTTTAAGGTGTCCACCACACCTGAGCTGTAGTGTTGGGTCATTCTTGAACGATTCGTTCATTTTGATAATCTTTTCTGTTTCTTATAGCAGTTTTGTATTGTTTGTAGTGTGATCAACGTTTGCGTAAGTAGTAGGGAAGTAACACGTAACATTTTAATTATATTTTGCTAAAATGAATGAAATGACCTGAAAAAAGATTCGTTAATTTTGCTGAACGAGACTCAAAGGTCTGAGTCGGTAAAATGATCCGAACTTCCCATCACTACTGAGCTGCCTGTTTTGTTCCCTGCCCTTCTCTTTTAGGAAGTGAGCATCGGTCTACAACTTCCGGATCCTAAAAAGCCATCATGTAGTATCGATTCCAAGTGAAATGGCAATGCCTGCATATTTTAGGCTGTGGTTGGGATAATGAGCTCGGCCCTTTATTCCCATCGCCTGTCGCTCCTGGTGATGGAATTAGCTTGAAGCAAGCAGAGCGGAAATCACTCTCAGCTTTATGAATGACATCCCAGAGGTGGGAACGGATTAGCCTTCTCCCGCTCTCCCTCAGTCTGTGTGTCTGTCTCTCTCTCTCTCACTGCCTCTACAGCACCAGGTGGCTTTTTTTCCGGGCACAAAGGTGTTTCGCTTAATCCCATTACGCTAGTGCTAAATCTCACAACATCAAAATCACCCCCACCACCACTAACCTTCATATCTCTTTGCTTCTCCCACTCTGTTCGCTTTCCGTCCGCTCCCTTTCTGAGTGATTGAAAAGGTGGCTTCACCTGAATGGAGGGAGAGATCTGCAGGCAGCTGCTGTTTTAGCAGTCATCATTACCGTTGCTGACTCACAGCGATTGCCAATCCTGATCCAATTTCGCCATGCTGGGTGGCCCCTTATTCCCTTGTCCAATAATGTGTCTGCTGGAAAAAATCTCACTGCTCCAAATCAAGTCTAATCCTAGCTGGAGACCTCATGTCAATCTTTTTCTCCAAAAGGGAAAAAAAAACAAGACAAACGCATACATCTGGTCCCGCCATAGATCTCTCTTTCTCTCCTTTTCTTTGGCCTCTAGGGATGGCTTTTAAGTCCCCCATCTTGTCCAAAGAATAGAGTAGGGATCATGCAACATGACCTACCAGAACCTTGATATCACAATATTGCCACCCTTGGGCATTGGGACATAGGTGCGGATTAAGACTTTGCATAATAAGATTACACACTGACTGAATGATATCAAGGGACGATCCATATGTGGCAAGCTGGCTCTCTGTCGCCGGCTCATTGGCGGGTGGTACAGCTTGTGGAGAGGTGCCTGGGAGAGCCGCTGGGAATCAAATGGGATTCAGATTGTAAATGAGTTGGGCATTTGCAGTCATAGCTATCAGCGACCGGATCTCTCCTAGTTCCACATTTAAATGTGAGAGGTTAGATCAGCTGTCCTTTGTGTGATTACCACAATGACCTGCAATGACGCCCAAGTCTACTGGGACTTTCTACACTGATTTGTATCTTCTGATCGCAGATGTTTGACAAAGACCACTTGCTGGGTGAGTCTTCCCATTCTCAGTGAGCAGTCAAAGCAAGTGAGATCTGAGTTCTGATTCTATGACTTGCTAATGTCTGTCAAATGCACTTCTTAACGTCTTACTTTTGATTTCTTATTCCTTATCGAAGAAAAGTCCAAAGTGGTCAAGAAAGATGGTAGAAGTTTCTTTTGTTCACAGAATACCTTGGATGCCATAGTTCAACAGTGACGGCCCCTGCTGAGAAACCCCTCTATCCCAGGAGCTGCTTTTCTCTCAAGAATCTCACCATTCATGGCTTCCCATTCCCGCATCTTCAAAGCAGCATTCCGAGAAAATCCCTCACATAAAAAGATACCTCTCCTCATGAGTTGATGATCCAGGGGTGTCAAACGGTAGTTCCTGTCCCACTGTGTGCTGTGGGAAATGGATGTGTCTGTCGGCTGGATGAGATCAATAAGCACAAGGCCACAACATCGACCCGCTGCTCTCCTAAATGACTCCATGAGTCCTTTTCCGCTGTGCTGGGCTGTCAGGCACTGTGGGGAACTTAGGGAAACTGGAAATACTTCAAGCCAGGGGGTCCCAAACAGAAAAACATACCTGCTAGTATTAAACAATACTTTCCACAGTGTAGCAAATACAGACCACACTATGAATGAGGCCAAGTGCGTTGTCAGGTTGTGTCAAAATGCTGGACAAAAAGGAAACTGTAGAACGAAGTTAACTAAATGCCAACAGAGGTTCAAGGTATTTTAGTTTAAATAGGCTAAATCTAAAACAGCGTCTAGTGTCCAGAGTTACTGTCATATTGGTCATTGGTAGGAATACATGATATATTGGTAATACTGGCAATATCAGTTGCGATACAAATATTTCAAATATCATACAAATATAGTTTTCCTTGTTTTTACAATTACTTTTGCCATAAGTATAGATATACTAATTTAATAATGTTCTAATGCAAATCTCAAAATGAATATCCATTTTTCATACTGTACATTTTCATAATGTTGTGATGCCTAAATTTACTTGTAGCATTTAAAGCAATGCTTTTTAGGGTTTTATTTCAACATAATATTATAGATGTTGGCTGTTTATCCATTATCAACCTTAATATGATAATACTTATTAGCATTAGCCAGAATTTAAAATTGGTGCATCTCTAATCATTGGTCAGCTGTGAGCACCATTCCACCATTGAACCAATCTTCTCGCACCGTTGAATTTAGTCATTTTGTTCCAATCTGGTCCCAATGGGGAAAATTTTCTATATATTACTGCATGGCAGTCATTTTGCATTCGATATTCGAAACGGAGCCTCCATAGAGAGACCTATTCCTTAGGCTGCTTAATGAAAACATATCCGTTATCAGTGTTAATAACATCACCCCCAGTCATAATTGTAGCATATGATCAGAATGTGACAC